TCCTCTCAACCCATAGGACCACAAATTATTGCAATAGTTCTCAATAAAGCTTCTCGTGGCATCTTCTCTTTTTGCATTGTAGAAATGGAAGAGGACCAAAGTCTACTTGGTTGAATATTTCAAACAAAATTTTATCTGCCATCATTATCCATCTTAATTCCATAACTTGCACCTTCCATTGCTGAAATTCCATATGTTGTCAAATAATCTTTAATCAATGTTTTTATGGCTCTTTTACCAAAGTTGGTTTGGAGAAGACCATTGGTATCTTTCAATGCAACCTTCTCATCTTTTCAATAAACAATGTTTTGTTGTACCATCTCATCGAATTCACCACAATCTTTTTGAGAATGAGAATCATCATCACACAAAATACATCTTTGCATATATCCTTGTTTAAAATTAGCTTTTAAATTTATTATACAAGTTTTTTCTTCAAGCCTTGCAAGTTTGATTTGAAGATCTCACATCTCTTGTACAATCTCCTCAAGTCTCATATCTTCTTTCTTTGGTGTAGTCAATGGAAGTTGCACAATAGGCACAGTCAATCATGTAGTAGGCATTGAAGTCTTTAATACTTGTACCACTCTTTGAGTACTAAACCTATCCTTTTTCTTTTCTTTTTTGACAAGTAATCCAATAGTATCTTCAATTGCTCTCTATTTTGTTGTCAATCCTTCTTCTTCTTCTTTGTCTTAAAGAAGAACCTCCAATCTTTCTTGTAATTCTCCATTAGCAGCTTGAAGAAACAATTCAACCTTGTTTAGTTCCAATATTAACTTTTTCATTTTCGATAATCAAGAAAATTATCTTTCAAATTTTTTTAATAATTTTGTAGCTTACAAATTTTTGTTAGGTCGTTCAATCCATTCCAAGAATGATTTCTTGATAACTCGATTAGTATCCTTTCAAATATACTCACCCTTCAATGCATGTGAAAATACCTCCCATAAACTTCCAAATTGTCCCATAATAGACCTTATATGCTCTCTTATCTCTTATATCATAGCAAGCTCAAATAATTAAATCATCTTCTTTTCAAAAATACAATTCAATTCCATTTTCCACACATTACATCTTAAATATTTGAAAATATCTCTCCCATCAAATTGGTCAACCTTCTTAACTATTACTCGCAATGCTTTGGTTGCTAAGGCCTCTTTGTGATCATTGCCCTATTGCTATTGCACAAATAATGTGAATGCTTAAAACATTTTTGCACTGTTTGGATCAAAGTACATGCCTTGTTCACCAGTACAAATTCCACTTGAAGTTGCGCTTGAAGATCTGCTTGAAGCTCCATCCAAAATTCCACAATTAAGTCCAAATTCAACTTTTTTGCTTTCTTATGCCATCAATTTCAAATGAATACAAATATAATCTAATACCTTCTACTTCAAACTTTCACATCAGATTCACCACTTATGTCGTATTACGTATTGTCTTGCTTGGAATGCACTAGGCACGCAGCTGTCGAAGGTGAGGTTGTGTTTCACAAGTATCCAAGAAATCCTAATAGATTTCACCTATACGAGACGAATATAATCTGAATTTCAATTCAAAAGTCCCAAAAACAACTCTTCTTAGTATTCTTAACTATACATAAATCCCAATTACCTTGTTACTTTCATATTTAAGCAATTTAGATTTTTCTTATAAGCCCCAATCCTAATCAGTGAGCTTTAATAAGCTGCAACATCTAATCTGATCGTCCACTTGATGTAAAATTTTGCATGCAATTGTCAATGTAAGTCTTCTATAAACTCAAGAATTTTTAGCCCAATCCAACTTACAAATTGTGAGAAAACCTTCAAAAGTAGCACTAATGTCACTCGGCTGTCAACTTGAAAAGTGAAGCACAAATTCTAGTAGTGATTTCTCCTTTTTCAACCATTAACTTTGACTCAAAATTAGTGTGCAACTTGATCTTTAAGTCCTTCAACACTATGCCAAATTTCACCTTTATCTAATTGATAGATCTCTAGATATCACAAAAACCCTACCCAACCTTAAATTGCCAACTTCCAAAACCCTCTTGTGCTAAAAACCAGATATCTCTAAATCACACCATTAAATTATGACAAAATTTTGTATACACTTAGCACACCCAATAATCCAAATAATGTCAAATTTTTAACCATAGATGTTATACTAATTATACAAGCTAGCCAAAATTGCTAACCCTAATTATATTATATAAAATCCAAATCACCAATACAAACCCTAATTTTGAATAACAATTGCTAAGTTGAAGAATAACATGTCTTTTTTTAAATAAATGGCAAGATACAACGTGTTTGGTTTTACGATCTTGGAAGAAACTTATGATATTTGGTGATTTTATTAAAGGTAGGAATAATTCTCGATAGTGTTCTAAGTATTTTATTTAAAGGAAGTTACAAAGGTCTTATCAATTATCAAATAACAGGATAGTTTTTTCCTTAGTATAGGACACTATCAATGAATTAGAGGACCTATCAACCATCTTTGAAGAAAACAATTATCAAAGTATATAGCAAACATAATTTATTCCATCTTAGATTTCTTCAACATATGATGACCGCTTCTCATAGAACTCGATCTTAGAAGGAAGGATAATGTCACAAACATATATATTTACTTTAATATTTATATATATGATTAAACAGAAGTAAGTAAAAATAGATATATTTTATAATATTTTTTTATAAAATCTTCCTAAATGCTTCATAGATGCTGTTTTGACTTTATATCTGTTTGTAATTGATTAGTGGCTTAGAAATTTGATCAACAAGTTAATCATGTACTAGTAGCTTATGAAATAAGCTAAATATATGGCGTACATATAAAAAACTTGCTTTGCAAGTTAAGATATGTATTTTACAAAGTCAATATGTTTTAGAAGTCTTTTAGTACATTGCCACGTAGTTCCTAATTAAGAGTATATATGGAGGAAAGAATGAAGCCTTCTTTACTCTTGTCAATGCCTTTTTAGTCTTTAATCTTGTTTTAAGACTTTCTAGTCTTCTTGTCTTTGACAATAGCCATTTTAGTTTAATACTATACTATCTTTGAATCATATACAAATGTATTGATATTTTAGCTTTTCGAGGTTCATATCCTTAATATCTTTAAGTCTCAAATTTTTATGATTCTATATTTGTGATGGAAGATTATTTTATCAAAATGGCACATTTTATATCTTATGAAAAATCTATTATATGTGAAGAAATAGCTAAGCTTTTCTTTGATAATATTTATTGCTATCATAGATTGCTTATAGATATTATATTACATAAGATGACTCAATTTACATCAAAATTTCACATTATAAAAGTCGACATAAAATTATGTTTGGTTTTTCATCTTCAAATCAATGGACAAATAGAGTATATTAATCATGTTTTTAAATAGTATTTGAAATATACTATCAATTATCAATTAGATGATTGAACAATTCTTTTTTCATTGATAGATTTTTTTTTTAATAACATGATATATTCTTCTAATCAATAGATATCTTTCTTTGCTAGTTATGGTTATCATCTATGATTTGATGTTATTGACTTCTCAAAAGTTAATAATTTTATAGCACAAGATTTGACAAATTATTTATCTGAGTTATATACAATAATAAAGGCATAATTAAAAAAAATTAAGAATGTCAAATATCAATACAGATGCCTATTGTAAGGAGCAATATCAATTCCACATTAGCAACAAGGTATAGTTTCTTTGTTGCTATATTAAGACTATTCACTATTATGATAAGTTGGATTGTCATATACTTGAACTATTTCCTATTTGTAAACAAATCAATTCAATTGCTTATTGATTACATCCATTAGATTTGCAAAAGATTCATCTCATATTCCACATATCTCTTTTTAAACTATATTAGATAGTGAATATCTTAGAAAGAAGATAAATACCACCTCTTCCTATAGAAGTGGATAATAATGAAGAATTTGAAATAGAAGAAGTCTTAGATTCAAGATAATGCCAAAATAGGTTAAAATATATTATTTATTGGCATGGATATGCTATTAATGAATGCACATAGAAGCTTATTAAGAATCTTGCAGATGCAATAAAAAAGGTTGATGCTTTTCATCAATGTCAACTATCAAAATCAAGATAAAAAAATAATAAATTTTTATAATAAAAAAAAACAAGATTTATAGAAGATTGCATTCTAACTTCTATTTTTATTTATAATTTTGATCAATACATATATATATATATATATATATATGATATTAACGAGATTAAAAATCAACAATTAATAGATTTAAATCAAAAGCTATCATTTGTTGACTTATAAGATGAGATATTGAAATTATCATAACATTCAAGGTGACATAATAGAAATAAAGATTATCAAGAATGACATGTTCTTCTTCAAATAGATGGCAAGATACAATGCATTTGATATCATTTCTTTAGAAGAGACTTTTGATATTTGGTGATTTTATTAAAAATAAGAACAACTTTTGATGGTATTACAATTTTTTTTTTTTTTGAAAGAAGTTACAAAGGCCTCAACAACAATCAAATAATATAATAGTCTTTTTACCTTGAAATAGAACATTATTAATTGCTAAGAGGACCTATCAATTATTTTTGTAGAAAAGAAAGATCTGAGTATGTGGCAAATACAATTTATTGCACCTTAGACTTTATCAACATGTGATCATTGTTTGTAATGAAACTTGTCTTTAAAATAAAAGTTAATATCATGGATATACATATTTATTCTAATAATTATGTAAATAATATGAGTAGATAGAAATAAATTAAAGTAGATAAATTTTATAATATCTTATAAAAAAGCTTTTTAGAAGCTTTATACATGTGGCTTTGATTTTACACATATTTAAGATTGATTGATAGATTAAAAACTTAGCCAACAAATTAATTACAAGTTGCACATATTGATAGCTTGTATTATAATTTAACTATGTGGTGCACATATAAAAAAAACTTGTTTTACAATTTAAGACTTATATTTTGCAAATTAAATATGTATTAGAGGTCCTATAGAACATCGCCACATAATATTCCAATAAACAAATCCCTTACACAATTCTATGTCTTAATCATCTAAATGACAATAGTCACCTATGAATATTCCTCAGCCAAATCTGGCTTAAGTTTTAAACAAGATTTGCAATTTTTTTTCCCTCATCAAAATATGAATATAATCTATCCTGCTTCTGAAGATTGAAGTCTTCTATGTCATATGCAAAACTGAGATATATGTTTTATCATTACCTTGCACAAAAATATGGTACTGCATACGAACCTTCAGTCAACAAGATAGTCTTGGTCTTCTAAATTCACTGAAACATAATTGTAACAAGAAATGAATTCCCTACTTTTTCATGCTCATGCTTTCACTTCAGAAAGCTCAAATGAAACATCTCACCAGTTCTTAACATACATTCGCCTAGGAGAAGTTCATTTCGGGAAGCTGCAGTTGGAGGCAAGCCAAATTTCAGAATGTTAGTATCTCAAAAGAATCTGGACTTATCACTGCAATCTGGAATGCACGAGTTTCAACTTCCAAGTCATCCAGATTGCTTTTTCAGGTTCCACCTTCCGAATATTAATCTCAGGCTCTCCCTTCACCACTCACCACACAGCTCCACAATTCCATTCCGTTGCACTTGGTTAAAAAAATAGATAACGTCCCATCTCTCTCTGCAAGCACCAGAAAACAAAAACAAAACAAACCAAAACAAAACAGCAATAACGCCTGATTAAAGCCTGATTGAATAAGAACATAATGCTTCTAGTTCCTCACGCACGTTTGTGTCATGTAGTCGTGCCTTCTTTATATTTGAGACAAACATCAAGTGCACTTAACCAATATACCTAAAAGGAATCATTCACAGGAGGCCAGGTGAGTTTCAACTTGTTACCTAAGCTCCAAAAGCAGCCGTCAGACTTCACCAAATTATAGAACTCTCCCTGCACGAGATGATTACTTGCTGAGTGAATCTCAAACCGAACTCACACTGCATCAGAGCATTACTCTGCACGCCGGTAAAGGGAGAGTGTTCTGCAGATAGGAATACAATGTTGAGCGCCGATCGACTTGAAATACACAGAAGGAGCACTCCAAAGCACGACGACTCACCTCTAAAGCGAGCTTCTGGCTCTTGATCCCCGATTTCAACGTCTTTGTCTTTATTTCACATAACACTGATTTTGCTTTCGTGCCTGAAGGCAGAGGTATGTGCACTGAAACTTCCGAGAGAGTTTGCGTCCAAGAGTATTTCTCGTGATCATGTCCGTCCCCTAAATTGGGTTCTGCGAAAGGAAGTTCGAACATCAACCAAACTACAACAATGTGGTATTCTCGTCACATTCGTTGTATTCAATAAGGACTGAAAACAATCTTCAGAAACAAATTGAAGCGAAAGATTGACTTACGCAAACCCACCCCCTCGGACTCGTCAATAATGCTATCATCGGCCGGGCTATTCGTTTCTTGCTTCAGCATTAACGAAGAAATCGGGCTACCCTTGTGAAGTTCTGAAGTTGGCGGTTTGAATTCTTTGATCGGAGTCTTCGTGCCCTCGAACTCGGCAACTTTCGCTGACACAACGCCTCCCACCTCGCCTGCGCTACTCCCCAATTTCACCAATGTCATAATTTCAGCCATCTTGTGTTCCACCCCAGATTCATTCCCAAATTCGGTTACTCTAAAAAGGAAATTGATGACAGACGTTACGAGCTCCAGGGGCTGCAGTTTAAGTTCCTCGGGCAAGGCGATGAGGACAGGGTCGTGTTGGGGAAGTTTGTCATCGGCTGGGGGAGGGAATGAGAATGGGGAATAGGATTGTGGCTGCGCAAGATTGCCTGCTGCGGGTCTAGTCGGAGCTGCTTGAGCGGTTTCAATTGGTTCATCAGGTAGGCTCTCTGCTGGAGTGATGCTCGCATGCACAGGCTCCTCTTCATTCTCTGCATGCATAGTCATCCCAAAATTCTGTGTACGAAATAACAACTTTTGCACAGGCTTGACCTCAGATTTCAGTTTCAGAACTGCAGCAATTGAAATACGCTTCCATGCATTGCGTCACAATTCCAGCTCCACCCAATCGGATACACATGGAGTGAATATGACAGCAGAGCACGGATATGATACGTCGCATTCACTTGTTACAAATTCATCGCAGACAGAAGCATTTCAGCAGACTACACATTCTTCCACCCAGTTGATTATCACCCCCTCCGAGTTGAATCAGGAGGTTTTTACACAAGCAGAATTTCAAGCTATTACGTGTTGCGCCTGATAGATATTGATCGTTCAGTGAGATGTAAAAGATCTTAAAGAGTTCAGAAAAATGGCGTGAATGCTGTCAAGCAATCTAAAACTGTACATAGGGCAGGTCAACCAAGCTCCCGCCTGTAAAAGGTCCTGGGCACAGCCGATGAGGGCAATACTAGGGGGAAAATTACTCATCACAGTATCTCAGCAAAGAAATATGCGACCTACTCTTTGAGATACAAACCTCAATTCCTGGGAAATCAATCAAGCAGCTGAAGCTTAATGGCATTTAAGCTGGCAACAAGGATTGATAAGTATGGTGTTTTAGGGATGAACCACAAACATCATATTTCACTCTAAGTGTACAATACCTATCGTCCTGACCACTATCCCACTCCCTACTTAGGCAGACTCTTCTTTACTCTTCTTCTTTTTCTTTTTCTTCTTCTCCAAACCGTTCGCTGCCTCAACTGCGGTCTCTGCTACGGCCTCAGCTTCAGCTTTCCTCTTCTTCTTCCCCGACTTTGTAAGCTCGGGAGTGACTGCGACAGCCACTGCGACAGTGGCCTCTGGAGTTGAGATGACAGCGCCCTTGGATTTTTTCTTTTTAGGAGTAGCATCCGTGATTTCAGCAGCTGGCTCGGCAGCAGTGGCGTCCTCTGCAGCGTCCTTAGATTTCTTCTTTTTCTTCTTCTCAGGAGAAGCATCTGTAGAGGGAATGGCTTCTACAGTGGGAGCAGCATCCATGGTTACATCCGCAGAAGTGTTGTAAACCTTACCAGCAGACAGTAACCCTGGTGTTCCAGACTTTCGATCCTTGTCATAAACCTGAATGTTGGGCTTTCCCTTGGATCCGGGTGTACTTATACTTTTACCCAGAGCTCTACCTTCAAGTTGTCTCAACCTTGCTTCAACCTGTCAAGAACAGGCACATAAGATAATTATATATATAATGGATAGAAAAGTGCAGAAAGAGGGTTCCTACTCCGAGGAAAAAGCAAAAAATATGGGGCAATAAATAAAAAATGCAACCGGAGTGAAACAGCTTGGGAATACAACAAGAGAACGTGAAAAACATACCTTAGCACGACTCTCGATACCGATGCTGGCTTCAGTAGTATCCCCCAGGGCATCCATACGGATCGATAAAGCTGATTTAGCAGCAAGCACTCGAGAAATTTTACCCTTAAATTTGGGTGCAGCTTGCCCAATCAATGAGGCGTGATAAATAAGTCCGTACTTGGGAGTCTCATGCTTCGTTTTCAAGGCTCTAAAAAGTGCCTGCAGAACAGAGAGATTCTGTAAGCCAAGTGGCACAGCACGGAAATGATAATTCTCAAGATGTATAAAAGGCACCTTGTATGATAACTGTCGAAGTAATGTGATATAATAGTTTCCAGTAATAAACCAAAAAATGATGCTTAATGCAGACACGGGCATAAAACTGATCAAAAACCAACATACATTAAATCGAGAAAACGCAGAAATGGGAGCTTTACCTTCTCAGCACCCAAAATTTGAACAGTACTTGCTGGGTGTTTAGCCAGATTTACGAGACTTCCGGCGTGAGCAATAAGTCGTGCACCGACCAACTCTCCTACCATGACTGTAAGATTGGGTGCAATAGCATTCATACGACTCCTCAGATAATCGAAGAGCTGGCCTCGGTACTCAGAGAGAGCAATAACCTGGTCGCACAAGGACTTGATGTTCAACATATCATGCTCGCTGACTTCTGTGCCCATAGAGATAACAGCAGCTTCTTTCATTTCAGACTCAACCTCCTCTTGCAATATCTGTCAACACAACAAGTCGGGTCAACACGAGAAAAAATAAAAACCTATTTACAGGGCAGCTGTAATACACAGACGCAAGTGACAATAATACAGCGATGTATCTACATAAAAATAGTCTACGAAAGGGATTCTTCGTAATAAACATCGGCAAATAGACATTTTCAACACAGAATATACGGTACAGCTGCGGCAAGTTTCTGGCGATAGGCAGACCGATTCGGGTGGTATACTTCGGAGCTCTTCTTCCATTCGCTCGTGATGAACACTTACCCCAGAGAAGTCCAGGTCTGCGGCATTGGTCCGGCTGCCCATCAACTTCACCGACTTGGCATACTGGACATTGTCCTGGACAATCTTTGCGAGCTCGGGAAAGTGCCATCCATACCATTCACGTACTCTCATTGCGTAGGTGTTCAACTCTTTGTCCAAATCGTCCAGAAGACCAATAGCTTGCACAATCATGGTGTCCACCTTATCAGGACTAAATTTAAGTTTGTACCTAGACAAACTGTGAGACAGTCCGAGACTCATGGGTGCCATATCATGACCAGCAAGACCAGAAATAAGTTCGGACAATTGAGACCTCAGACCCCTCATTAGCTCTGCTACAGCTGCATTGTTCACACAGTTTATTTCCTGCATGCACACATATTTCAACGTTAGATAAGTAGTTTTCTTCCCCAGGGTAGTGTTTCCAAGAGTCAAGAGTCCTGCGAGTTCGAATCCACAGAGCAATGAAAGAGCTACAACGTTAACAGGAAATGACTCACGAGCTTGTCACTGATGGCCTTCCCGAGCTTGGAATCCGCGATTGCCAAAGTCTCTCCTTGACATTGTTTCTTGAGAAACTTGCGAAGACCCTTCGGCAGCTTGCTGTCAACGAGGTGAGACGCCGCGTTGAGCGCATCAGTCGTATTCTCGAATTTGTCAAAGGCTTTCAGTTTGACCATCTGGGCAACCCACCAGCAACCTATTAGGTTGAAATGTACACGATAAACCCCAACCGACCCGCGCTGAATTGAGGAGACTAGTCCCAGGTACGAAGAATTACAACCATAAACTATCCGCAGCTGAAGCTTCAGGCATTACTATACAGATAAACAGGGATGTAGTGGCATACCTTGCGAGCAGCATCCGCAGTCTCGAACTCCTTGTAAAGTTCCTGAAAACAAACAGAAGAAGGAAAATACAAAAAAATAAACAGAGGTCCATAACCAGAAGCTGAACTTGACCATCGCACGATGAAGCATGGATCTCACCTCCAGCCCATCTCCAAAACCCTTCTAAAGGACAGGAGACTTACCTCGGAGGCATCGAGCTTCCCCTCATTCAAAACTTTGAAGAGGGCGAACCCGGCAGGCGTCTCAAAGAGAGCCAACATTGTGAATCAGAAAAGGCTTTCTCGTCACCCCCACTCAGTGCGACAACCAAACCCAACAACCCACTTCTGAAAAAGCGGGGTTGCGCTGATAAATAAAAAAATGCGATGAGGAATTCTCCTGTTCTTCTTCCTAGTGGGGGTTCCAAGGGCCGACGTAAATCAAAGCATGAGAAAAGAGAGCATGCAATCGCACGCTCGGTCGCCGCTACACAACAATACCGCAACAATGGTTGCGGCGGAATGAGAGCCCAAACCCTGGCTCCGCCTAAAACCCCCAGGGTTTGAACGAATGTCTCTATGCATTGGATGAATTATGGGTGCTCGTTAGGGCTTCCTTCGTTGGCGCCTTTGTTTCTCCGTTTAGGGCGCGTTTGTTTCCCGCAGCATCACATTGTTGTTTACATACACATACATATATTTCTGTGCGTGTTTGAGTGTATAAATATATATATATATATATACCTAGGCGTATTTTATATTTTATATTTATGTAAAAAAATACACTTTTGTAGTGTTCATTTGTGACATGGCATTTTATAATTATTACTTTTAATTTTACATCAAGTTTAGATGTTCTGTGCTAAAAGAATTGTATACTTGCATCAGACTAGTTAATTGTCATAAATTGATTTCTATTCATTTTCATCATGAAATGTTTTGCATTTAAAATATATTTTATATATTAATTTTTTGATATCATTTAATTAAAGATGTATTTATTTATGTATTTTATTTTAAAAAAAATGTATATAATTAGAAATGATATGGTGTTATTGTGATGGCATATGTTGAATCATTATGTCCCAAAAAATTAAAATGAGTCATCTCTATACATATATTAAAATTTTATAAAAAATCATGTGTATATATATATAATTTTATTTTGACTAATATTTAAAATCATAACTTCATGTATTCTATATTTTATATGCATTTTCTAGTTTTATTTTTGAGTAGATTATATAAAGATGATTACTTTGGCTTGTGTAAATTAATAATTATTATATCACCTTTAGATAAATAAATGAATTGTAGAAGATGCCAACTCCTCATTAATAATATTATTATGAAGATATTAGGACATTTAAAGGTAATATTGGGTATTTTTTGTTCTAATTATATTTGTTAATCCAGAAAACAAATTTAAATAGAATAAACGATTTATTTTGTAATTGCTACTATAATACAAACTAACTACACTCTAGAAGATTTTCAAGAATAATATCAAATCTATCATCATACAAATGATTTGTCTCAATAATAAATATAAATAATAGTTTTTTTAATTTTAAAAAGATGTAATCTCAATTAGAACATTAAAGTCCTAAATTGATTAATTATCTTATTTAATAAAAAATAAATCTACATTTATTTAATAGCTAGTAATAAAATAAATTTCTTATAAAAATACCTACTTTTAATACTGTCATCAACTTACATTTTATTATCTTTTAGCAACTCCATAATTATTCTTAACTATTTCAAAAGTGACGATGTAAAATCAAATCATTATATTTTAATTTTTGAATTTTAAGTTTTAAATTTAATTTTCTTATCTACATCATTTATTGTTAGATTTTTTATAAAATTTTAAAAATTTCCAAGCATATTCTTTATTAAAGTTGTAAAAAATAATTGTTTTTAAATTTATCCAAATATAAAAGAATTCCAATTATAAATAATGAAAAGTTTGAACATCTTTTATGCCATTAATTTTCTAAAATTGACTAATATTAACTTGTAAAAACAAATTCTTCTAAAAAATATCTTTTTTCTATTATTGTAATATCAGGAAGACTAAAAAATTGATTGGTTTCATTAAGGTATATATTTTTAGAATTGTATAGGTATTTTTATCTACATATTTTTCTTTCTACTTCTATTTGAAATAAATATTTACACATATATGTACATATAATTTAAAATACTACTTATTCATAATTTTCTTTTTAAGGATATATATGTATATATACACACATAAACATACACATGTAATGATATATTAATGTTGGTATTTTTAAGTAAAAATTAAATTAAACAAAATAAAGAAAATATTGACAAGCATAAAGTATATTTATCTTATATTTTGGTAAATGGTTACTATTCATCCACCAAAGAATCTTTTTGCTTGTATCTCTAATCATCTTGCCTAATATAATATAAATTAGATATATTATTATTTTTCACACAAACTTAATATCCAACCAACATCAAATATTGTATATTTATTATCTAAAATCACATAATCTAAAACTAATAAGTAGTGCTTGATTATAACAAAACTATATTGGTAATAAAAATTTAATATATATATATATATATAATATTTTTTATAAAAATAAAATTATCTAGACTGTCTTATATATACATGTAAATTTTAATACATGTAGTAAAGTATTTATATAATTTAAATACGTTAGAATTTGATAACAAAACATGGTTTTATTCAAAAATAAGAGAACAAATTGTATTCTATTAAAGTTTGTATATTTCATAAAAATGAATAGAATTAGAATAAAATATTTTGAAATAAAATAATAGCTTATATTATAATTCTAAAAATACGGTTTTTAAATTCTGTATTAAAGTAGTCTCTGTAAGAATAAATATATTTTTATTAATAATAGCATAAATATGTACAAAATATTTTTTAAAATTATATATTATTTAAAATAAATACCTAAATTAAATAATAAATAATAAATAAATTGAAATTTAACTTATCTAAATTATTGAAAAAAATAGAGATGCAGTATTTAAAAAAACTTCCAAATAATTCAACATATGATGTTTCAACTATATATATATATATATATATATATATATAAATCAATTATATTTTTGTTTTATAATTTAAGGTGAAATATTATTTTCATATAATATTATTTTATATTGAGTAGATTTTTGTATACATCAAAATTATATTTAAAAATTATATTAAAATAAAATGTGTAATAGATAGTATTAGTTTAATTTTTAAATTTTATATCATTATAATTTTAAAATAAAATAATAGTATTTTTTACTTTTAAGAAAGAATTTTTATTTTTTAATTAAAGACCATTTGAATTGTTAATATATTCAATAAATTTATGCATTATCAAAGATATCAGTCTAAACAAAATTTGAAAGAAAATATATTTGTATATTATCAAAAAAAGAATATACGAAGGACAAAAGATATGGATGTAAGATAGAAGATTATATGAATGATTGTTGTTCAATTCAAAGAAACTAAAGAGTCTTGAATCAGGTCTTAAATATAAAAATAAAAAAAGTGTTCATAAGACTACTAATAACCTCATTCTTATCTTCATTTTTATTTCTTATCAAGGTCTTATGGAAGCTTTCTGTAGATCACAAGACTTGTAGCTTAAGCATCAAGTTGTAAATTGCATCTATTGATGCTTTTTGAAATTAAGAAGTTTATGCCATAAGTTCAATAGTCATGTGGTATATATATAGAAATATAAAGATGTAGCTCATATTTAAGAAACTTCTTTAATTTTTTTAAAAAAAAATATTGTATATCTTACCTATTCTATCTACTTCATTTATTCCTACTTGTCTATTTGGATAATTATTATTTGGATAATATAGGAATTTTTTTAATTACTTACTTCACCTCCTCTTTTTTAAAAAATAGATCATTAAGAGGTCTAAGATTTGTCAAATAATATTAGCAACAAATATTAATCTTGAATCTTTGTAAAGTTGATTGATAGGTTTGTTTAGTCATTAATAATATTTTATACAATGGCACTAAAACCACCATGTTATTTGATTATTAATGAGTTTTCATAATTATCTTCAAACAAGACATTTTGTATGCAATCAATTAAACCGTCTAGTTCCAATACTATAATTAAGCATACAGAGTCTCTTTAAATATTGTGATATCAAACATATGGCATTTTGTTATGTATTTAAGGTAATTCATGTCTCTTTTGAAGATCTTCATTGCAATTGTAATATTATTTGTATTAAAATAATATAATTGTATCACTTGAATTTTTTTAAATAATAACTTTTAAGTTGAATTAATTGATTATTGATTACACATGTTTCAAAGAAGTTTTATAAATTGATCTTTAAACTAATTTTTCTTTAATTTTTTACCATCTTATTCTTGATAATTAATCTTTGATTTTGATGGATGTTGTTGATAAGAAATAGTAAGAATTTTTAATACATTTGCAAGAATCTTAAATGGCTCTTATGTACATTCACTAATATCATATTTTTTTCTAATATTCAAGATATTTCAATTGATTTTTTTAATTTTCATTATAAAACTTCTTCCACGTTAAATTCTTTGTTTTTATCTATTTTAATAAGTAGTGATAGTAATTACTTTCTACTTGACAAGTTAATGGTAGTATAATACTCAATAAAAAATACATGCATTATTATATAAGCTTTTATTAATTTTTGTAATTGCCATCAACATACAATTAGATTAATTTTTTTTTGGATAATAAATAGACAAAGTCTTTTATAATCTAACTTCTCATAAGATTGATTAATCTTTGTATTATGATAGAATAACCATATTTTATTACCAACTTCAATTAATTATTTTTAAAACATTTGCATTAGTTTTTTATTATTTTAAAGCACCTTTTAGTTGTATATTTATTATTATATAAAGCTCTATTATTTTAATTTCCAAATCTCTTGTTATTAAATATTTATTTTTTAAAAAAATAAAATTAATAATATATTAATAATAATCATAATTAAAACAAATATAGTTCTTTGAATAAAATAGGTGATTGTATTATTATATAGATATTTTCTTAATATCAATAGCATTATTTGATAGTCTTATTCATAGTTAATAATAAATTCTAAATATTACTCTAATACTTGATGTACATCAAGCATTATATAAAAACCAACCAAATTGGGATTTGGATTTTTACATAATGCTTAATGTATCTAGTTTTTGTCTCAATACCATCATATGACAATATAACTTAAAAAAAATGTCATATATATATATATATATATACAGTTTAAAATAAGTAGATGAATAAAGTAGAAAAAAATACACAACTACAAAAAAAGAGGCACTAGCCCTAATCAATACTTATAAGAAATGCATCTTATTATCTTATTTGAATATTACATGGTATTTTATATTAATGATGTCTCTTTTGAATATCTTGTAAATAAACTCAATTTTTTTAAACAAATAGCAGGATAAACATTACTTCTATCAGAATTCAATCATGCAATAGATTTTAAAGGAT